CATATCAAAATATTCCATAGTCCGGTGGTTTGGGCACTCACTTGAGAGGTGAGAAACCCCTATTTAAATCCTTTTTCCTCATCAGGCAGAGGCGGAGTTGAACTGGGGTCTCCCATACCCTGGGTGAGTACTCTAATCACTGGGCTAAAGGTTATAAAAGAGGCCACTTCTGTCAGCTATTCCCACCCTGGCAGTTTTGTGCGAAGGGAGGCAGACATCTAAGCTGTTGTTGCAAGAAGGGGATAGGTGTCTGCCTCCAAGAGAGAGGATTCCTGGCTGTGGATCCCAAACAAAGATAGGTGCCTCCCTTCAGCTCTCACTTAAGTATCTAACTCTGGGAGAGGCACAGGATTTAGGACACACTCCTCTCATCAGCATCTCTTTGACTAACCTACACAACATCCTGCCTGGCTTGCTGGTTTTTGTGGATCCCATTTTCAGATGCCTATCTCTACCTATGCATTGTGTACGGAGCCTAGGCACCTAACCCAGGGTTTTTGGATTTCAATGATTTTTCAGAGTGTCTAAAAGTTTCATGTTGCAATGCCTTTCTCTTTGTGGATCCAAGCTATGGCTTCTTGAGCAGTGGCCATATTGAAGTAAGAGAAGCTATCAATCTCCCTTCCTTCAAGAAAGTGTTGACAATCTATTGACGGGTTTCAGAGTAGCAGCCATGTTAGTCTGTAGCCGGAAAAAGAAAAGGAGTACTTGTGGCACCTTAGAGACAAACAAATTTATTTGAGCATAAGCTTTCATGTGCTATTGTGATTCAATGTTTCCTGGGGATATATTGTATCCAGTGTTAAAATTACTGCTGATTTTGATGATGGTTGAATAAGAAACAAAAAGTATCCCATTGCCTAGGTACGTATTCAGCTATGTTTCACTCTTGCAATTTTATTGAAGGAAATGTAAACTTGTGCTTATTTGCTTTGAAAAAACTGTGTGTGTGTGTGTTTGTGTGTGTGCGTGTGTGTGTGTGTGTGTAAAAATTTAAAATATTGTACTATAGGTGAAAACACTTTCCAGTAATTTAATGGAAAGTCCATAATCTGCTTTCCCAAGGGGAAGGGGTCAGTTTTTCCATGAAGCAGAACTAATTTGTCTTTGTATTGTTCAGTCATATAAAAAGTTAATTAAACAGTAGGAATTTAATTTACGTGATAGTTACACCATCTCCAGATAAGTATAAAACTGATTTATGGCTAGAATTAGATCAGGTGAGCTGCCTCTGTTTCAAAAATTCATTTTTATAATAAATAATCAGATAATTATCAAAAGCTGAATCATCAACTTGAGGACAGCATTAGTAGATTTATTTAGTTGAGTGTTTTTACAATACTCAAGTTTTTGTTGTGGGCCTTTAAATAAAGAGACACTGTCAACTCAAAAATTTAAAATGTCCACTTAAGAAATAGCTTACAAGTAGTTTCTGGTATATACTTCCTCTTAAGTCTTGCTGCCATTTTTGTGGTTTTATAATCATACTTTATCTTCAAAATATTTTTCTCCTGTAGCTGTGTGAAAAGCCCAAACAAGTAAAACATTGAAACTAGGCTAAACATTATACTGTCAAATACACCAAGAAAACAAATTGAGAAATAGTAAAATATTTTTGTCATCTTTTACAGTATAGTTAACTTAGATGTCCACAATAAGTTTTTAAAAAGTGTGAGTTTTAAATTGATAGTGTCACTTCAAATAAAAAAAAATCATAAAAACAATTGGAGAAATGGGTTTACTTTATATTTCTATAATTCAAGACCACTTTGCATATTTGTGTTAAGAATTAACTATATTATTTTAAAGAAGTGAATAACAAGGAACAACCAAACGGATTTTTAATCACCTACGTAATTGTTATAATGAAGCAATAAAAAATTAACTAAAATTGAAATTAGTAGTGTTGCCAGTATTTTTATGGATTAGCATACCTAACAATGTGTTAGTGTCATTCAATTATGAATGGCTGGACAATATTCTGTCGTCAGAGACAGGTGGAAAGCTTGTGCTGAAGTTAAAGAGTTGACAGCATTTCTAATGGAAAAATTGTTCTCATTGTGTTTGAAAATCCTAAATATCTGTGATTTTTACTCTCAAAATCACTCTAAAATGTTCATGCATTACATTAAAAAATAAATGTTAAATATTTTTATTTTCTATTTGTAACAAACTTTTTGTTGCCAGCATTGGCCTGTTCAGTAAATGTAATTTACTCTAATATCTCAATGTAGTGTGTATAACTTTGCCTCAAGTAATACAGTTTGCACATTCACTTACTGTGTAGTCAATTAATCCATTTCCATTTCATTCAAAATGAAGTTCTTTGACCTTCTATCACCTACATTAAGCACCTGATGTTCCATAATTGTATGAGAACATTGCTGTTCTTTTTCCATTCTACAGAATGGAAAAAAAAATATTTACTCCTTCTTATTAAATTATATTGCTGTACTTTGAAATACTTTGTGAATATAAGCTAGGAACATCACCCTACTACATTAGATCCATTAGTATTTCAGGTCCAGTATCGTGGACCTGCCTCTCAGAGAGCTCTCCATATATGATATTTAGGAAGAAGGGAAACTTAAAGCACTTAGCTCCACAGTTCAACACATGGTGCCATATGGAAGGGAGAAAAATGTCTTTAACCACTGGGGTGGTCAGCAGTACATCATATGGTTTGAGATTTGATTGTTGTTTGTTAATTTTGAGGGAGTAACTGGGCCCAGAGAGTTGAAGATGTTAATGTGACTTTGTCACTGCACAACATTAAACAGTTATAAAAGGCTTTGGGTACTGGAATACAGCAACTTCAGCCTGCTTAGTCCTATGGCAAACACATCATTAAAATTTTTAACTATGTATTAAAGATACAGAAAAAGAGGGAAAAGCTTTTGAAAAGTAAGGTATGAAGCAAGGCTTTTATTTTCACAATATTATTCCCTTTAGCTGGTAGAGGAAGGAAGAAAAATTCTTTTCTAACAAGTTTTTTAGATGGTATTAAATATGTTAACTGGCCTTTTGGGGTAAGAGAAGTTAGTTGAGATGGGCTGGAGCTGATGCTGTTGCTACTCTTAAAGTCTGATCCTACTCCTAGAAAGCAAAGCAAGAGAAGCTTACACAAAAGGGGAAAGAAATGCGCAACAAAAATTGAACTTCCATCTCTGTGGCTGATTGACTTGCAGCCTCACTGCTGGAGAGAAACAGGCCCAGCACACATTCCAATCAGCCATTCCAAGTCTTGGCAAACTGGTACCTGCATCTGGCTGTTTAAGGGTACTGTCTTGAATTGCTTCTTTGGTCACAGGTTCACAGTAGTGTTGCAAAATATACAGTCTTTACTAGCTAAGCCGAACTCTTACTAAACAGAAGATAAATGGAAAGAGACAGGAAAGAGAAGAAATAAGGTAGGGAAGGAAAATGACACAGTAGGGAAGGAGGCGGGATGGTGCAGGAACCAAAGCCTTACATCCCAGGTGGTGTTTGGGATCTAGCCAGAGCCAGTGAAGGTGGCAGTGTCCTCTGGATTCCTTTCTCTGACTTTTGATCTCATCTGGACATCTCTCAGGATTAGGACAACAAAGGGCTAACTGCCACAGTGAATCCTCACGTCCCAGGAGAGGGTGTGTTATGCAGCCTTGATGGAGAAGCTTGCCTCTTCTGGTTCACTCATCTCTCAGCTAACAGTTGGTTAGATTTTTCTTCCCCAAAGTCTTTTTAAGGACCTCAGAAAAAGTAGCTCATTTGCTCATTATTTTGTCCACCAATTAAGCCTAACTTCCAACACAGCAATTTTGGTTAATTGATTTCCTGTCCCACACTTTTAATTTTTAACAGGTTTCAAAAAAGAAATAGATAAGTTCATGGAGGATAGGTCCATCAATGGCTCTTAGCCAGGATAGGCAGGGATGGTGTCCGTAGTCTGTTTGCCAGAAGCTGGGAATGGGCAACAGGATGGATCACTCGATGATTACCTGTTCTGTTCATTCCCTATGGAGCACCTGGCATTGGCCACTGTCGGAAGACAGGATACTGGGTTAGATGGACCTTTGGTCTGACCCAGCATGACCGTTCTTATGAGGAAATATTAAGAATATCAAGTCTTGTCTTTGCTGGCAAGTTAAAAAAAAAACAACTGGAGTGCAAGTATTCTTAGCCCCCCCAAGCAGTGCTGGTTCTAGCAAATCTGGGGCTCCCTGCATAACTATTGGATCAGGGTCCTGAACTCTGCTAATAAGATTCAATGTGCAACTTTGTCTCTGATTCCTAACCCAAATCCGTATACTATCTCCGAGCTTTATGTGATGTGCTATGGGGCAGAATAGATAAAGCACTCAGAATAGGTGAGTTTTTGTAGAGATTTAGAGGTACGTTGGATAAAGGTTTTTTGTTAACTGGAAAGAAGGGACATCTGTGAAGTATATCAGGCGGGCCAGTTATAAAAGAGGAGACATCCTGTTACTCTAAAGGGCTCAAGCTATTATGACCACAGAGCTTTGTAAGCACAAAGTAGTTCATACTCCAAATTGCACAATAAGGAGACTTAAGCAGTAAACATCATAGTACTATTTCAACCCATCTCTGAGAGGATCCTCTGATTTGGGGTGTCCATGCAGCTGGATGTTTGACAGCACATCTGAACTGGCTCTGCCATTAACTGAGAGGACATAGACAATGTCTTTTGCAGAGAATTCTTTTCCCAAGCCTGTGTCAGGAAGTAAAGTTATGTACGTGTTCACAAAACCAAAAAAAATGTTAGTTTCTGAGAATCCATTCCCCTTCAGTTGCTCAGGCTGTAGCACTTAACTCTGACCTCCATCAGTAGTCAAAGCTACAGACCGAGTACACACTGTGTGGATAGCTATTTCCAGTCACTCAAAATATATCTACCATTAGTTGTGTCCTCTTCAGCTCATATTAAGGGGCCGTGGGAAAACGGATCACACTTTCCTTTTCAGTATACCTTTCATAGTCATAAATGCCTGTTTTATTTCCAGGGAGCCTTTCATCATTCTGTCGGGAGGCTTATCATATGATACTGTGGGAAGAAGACCCTGTTTAACAGTCATGCATGGGAAAAGCACTGCTGTGCTAGAAATGGATTATTCTGTTGTTGATTTTCTAACCCTCTGTGAAACTCCATACCCTAATGGTAGGTTCTGTAAAGGTTATACTTTTACCCATTCTCTTTGTATCTTTACTCTGCCAGAATACTCCTTACTGCTTCTGCCTCACTATTATATCTCTGTGAGGGACAGGACTGGACCAATATCATCTGTTGTAGCTATTGTCTGTCAAGTTTTGTTTCAGCATTCTTTTAAAGGTGAAATAGGTTTCATAATAAACCCCAACATCAATTATAATGTTCTGAAAAAGAATTAGTAATTACATGTGTTTTTCTCCTTTTAAAAATAATACAATTTATTAAAATGTGCATGCATACAAGCATTTATAAAATACAATGCAAAGACAGTTATAAATAATATTATTAATGATTAGCACTTACCCAGGCCTTTTAATCTACAGTGATTGTGTAAATATTTACTAATTATTGTAACATTCCTGTGAGGTTGGTATGTAAGTTATCCATGTTTTACAGGCAGGCAACCTCCATCAGAGATTAAGTAGTTTACCCCAATTGACAGAGAGAGCACAGTGTTTCTTCTGGGATTAGAAATTGGTTTCTAGTACTATGTTCTGTGCTCAGGCCATTAGAATACATCTCTTTATTGTCTGTCAGAAATGCAGTGTGCCCATTGAAGAAATACCTTTTGGAGATCATTAGAATGTCAGTACATCTAATAGGTAAATTTTCAGTGTTGAAATGTTAGATATTATATCACATGCTCAGAATAGAGATCACTGTAAAAATGAGTTGTTGAAGCACGTCAGCAATATATTCAAACTGATGTTTTAAATGAAAGCATTACATTATTTTTGTGACTGTTCCGGGGCTTGCAATTGGAAAAAGAAATGAAATTTCATAAGGGAGAAAAGTTTATGCACATCCCCACTCTAAGAAGTCACCTGCCATGTCTCAAGACCCAGAGTTGTTCAAAGCAGTAAAACCTTCAGTGTTTGTCCGTCATCCACAGATGTAAATGTTTTAAACTATGGTTACAAAAGACCCCTGTCACATATCCTTCTGTAGTGCCTCTATTTCCATTAGCTGGAGCAACCACTGAACTTGCTGGTTCATTTCTGTTTTCCTCATCTTGTTGTTTGTTTGTTAGTTAATTAATTAAATAAAAATAGCTGTTAGTATAGTTATTACTGGATGAGGATTTGGAGTTGTGGTAGGCTGATACTGAACTACTGTGAACTCTTAGCCATAAATTTGGGTATAGGTGTACCTCGGAAGTCCCAATGGTGGACATTGAGACACAGCAAGGTTCATTTAAGAGTACTTTTTGTACTAGCAATATATTTGTAGCAGACCAGTATTTTCAATGTCTTGGTGGTGGGACTTGCATCTTATTCACTCAGTCTTACCTGTAAACTTTTTGCCAAAGGCTGAAAGGATAGAGGTGCAGTTGACCAACCAGGAAGAACAAGATCTGTCCAAACAAGTATTGCACACTTACAATATTGTGGTTCATTTGCTCTCCACAGAAATCCTAGTTTGCAGGCATTCGTGGTTCAGGATGTCTGGCCTACTCCAGGTTAAAATTCTGGAATTGCCTTTTAATGCTCCAGATTCTGGTTCCACACTGGTGCTCCTTTCAGATGAACAGTCTTCAATTCCTTTTGTAAATTAGGTCACTTACTGTTTCTTAATCTCACACAGTGAAGATCCAAAGAATCAATTCCGTGAGGGGAAATAATGTTACTGTTAGTAACTGGCGTTCTCTGAAAATATTGCTTTTGCAGATCAAAACGCCTTCCTTTTCTCAGTGTTCTGAAATGGATTTAATTGAGAGGGAGAGGAAATGAAGATAGGTGGATGAGGTCTTTACAACCTCAATTTTGAACATACAGATTTGTGAATACCTGTGCATGCTCTAATGGTGTTACTGCTTATGGCTAGTAAAGTGTGTGGTACGCAATCTCCTGCAATGTGGACTGCTGAGACTATATGTTAGGAGAACTAAAATGACTAATATGTAACCTTTCTGTCTGTTTTTAGATTTTCAGGAACCATATGCTGTGGTAGTTCTTCTAGAAAAGGATTTAGTAGTTATAGACCTTGCACAAAACGGGTAAGAATCTAGGGTGTAATGCCGGGTATATGCAGTGTCTACTTAAAGGCTGGCCGCTGTGTATCCATTTGATGTCACCTATCAATGCTCCACTTGCAAATGAAAATAATTTTTAATGGCACTTACTGGAACTATGTTTGAGATTATTGCCTTACTAAAACTCCCAATGGACTCTTGACAAGCAAATCCTTTTTAAAGAGCATCTAATTTTCTGTTCTACAGTTTGGTTTTAAGGACTAGATTTTATTTAAAAAATTTCTACTTCCATATTTTTATAATCACAAAGAACTTATGAGTATGACCTACTCTCTGGCAGGCAAGTGTAACATGGCATACATTTATAATTGAGTAATTATTGTTCTATTTCTGCCAAGTTTATCGTCTTCCAGCTAATAAGAGAGAACTTTTAGTGATTTCATTCATGCTAAGCCCATCTGGAGAAAGTTCTTTGATGCCCTGCACCTAGCAGCCAGTAGTCTGATAGAATGTTAGTATTTTGCTAAGATTGTAAACTCTTTGGACAAGGATTGCCTTTTTGTTCTGTTTTTGTATAATGTCTAGCAAACCAGAGTCCTGGTCCATCTATGTGCTATAGTAATACAAATAATTAATATTAATAGTTATCTTAAGTAGGGTTGCCAGCTTTCTACTCGCACAAAACTGAACACCCTTGCCCTGCCCCGCCCCTCCTCTGAGGCCTCACCCCCTGCTCACTCCATCCCTGCCTCCCTCTGTCACTCACTCTCCCCACCCTCACTCACTCGCTCATTTTCACCAGGTTGGCTCAGGGGGTTGGAGTGCGGAAGGGGATGAGGACTCCGGCTGGGGGTGCAGGCTCTGGGGTGGGGCCAGGGATGAGGGTTTTGGGGTGTAGGAGGGGGTTCCAAGCTGGGGGGTGGAGCCAAGAGGTTTGGAGTAGGGGAGGGGGCTCCAGACTGGCGGTGCAGGTTCTGGAGTGGGGCCAGAAATGAGGTGTTCAGAGTGTGTGAGGGGGCTCTGGGCTTGGGCTAGGGGTTTGGAGTGCGGGAGGAGGCTCTGGGCTGAGGCAGGGGGTTGGGTTGTTCGGGGGCAGTGAGGGCTCCAGTTGGGGCTGCAGACTCTGGGGTGGGCGTGAAGGGTTTGGGGTGTAGGATTGTGCTCCAGGTTGGGAACAAGTGGTTTGGAGGGCGGGAGGGTAGGGGGTTGAGGCACTGGAAGGGGTCAGGGGTACAGGCTCTCAGCAACCCTTACCTCAAGTAGCTCCTGGAAGCAGCCACATGTCCACCCCTTTGGCTCCTACATGGAGGTGCGGCCAGGCGGCTCTGCCCACTACCCCGTCCGCAGGCCGTCCCCGAAGTTCCCAATGGCCACAGTTCCTGGCCAGTGGGAGCTGCAAAGCTGGTGCTTGGGATGGGGGCAGCGCATGGAGCCCTCTGGCTGCCCCTACACTAGAAGCTGGAGGGAGGACAAGCCGCAACTTCCGGGAGCCATGCTGAGCCACGGCAGACAGGGAGCCTCCCTTAGCCCTGCTGTGCCACCAACCAGACTTTTAACGGCCCAGTCAGCAGTGCTGACTGGAGCCACCAGGTCACCTGGCAACCCTAATCTTAAAGTCAGCATCCTTAGTCCACATGTTGAAATAATTTTCTTTATTTAGGGGAATTGATTCGTGTGTGTCTATTTATTTAGAGAAATTGGGCAAAACCTGCTAGGTAATGAAGGGAGAGTGAGGCAGTCTAAGATACCTGACTGAAAAGAGAGCAAGATTTTAAAAAAGGAAAGTTGAGGCTTCATACCTACCTCCTGAAAGCATAGACCCAAGAGTCAGAAATCAACTTTTATCTGCGGAGCACAAGAACTAGAGCTCAGTAACTTACTTTTTCATTTCTTTTGCTACAGAACCATTAAGAAGTAGTCTCTACAGTGACAATTTAAAAAACTTACATTACAAGGATAATATCTTATCAACATCTTCATCAGCTGAGCGAGCAACCTTTGCAGAGTGCAGTAGCTGCATTTAATTGTTTTGCGCTATAGGCATATTTATTATTTGTTTATGCATAATGCTACCCAGTGTGTGCTAAATACTTTTTAGACAGACAAGAAGGCATGGTTCCTGCCCTAAGAAGCGGACAATCCAATCTGCACTATTTCTTTAACTTACTTGGCAGATAGTAAAATTATACAAATATTTTTTAAGTAAATTGACAGGCTTCAGTGCTTCATGTGTATTCTTGATCAAATTGACCACTTCTCTTTTGTTGGATTAACATTTTTTCCCTTTTCTCCAATAAAGGTATCCTATATTTGAGAATCCCTATCCTTTGAATATACATGAATCTCCTGTTACCTGTTGTGAATATTTTGCTGATTGTCCTGTGGACCTCATTCCTGCACTTTATTCAGTTGGGGCTCGACAGAAACGTCAAGGTTACAGTAAAAAGGTAGGTATAGGGTGCATATACTTATTTGATAATGCCAGTGTAAAGTGTCATTTATTTCAATCTGTTATTATTAACCTTCTAGGAATGGCCTATCAGTGGAGGCAACTGGGGTTCGGTCACTCAGAGCTACCCAGAGATAATTATTACAGGGTAAGTGATAAGAGAGTATACTAACTTACTCAAAATAAGTAGAGTGCATTTTTATAGTTCATATTCACATAACCTATAGAAAACAAAATAATTTGTATGGGAGGGGTGAATAATTAATGGAATGTACAGAAAACTCATTATCTTAAAAACACCCTACAAGTAATAGCTTTTGAATAACACATTGAAAACATACGGTTAATATGTATCTATTACGTACACTGGGTGATGATATTCTGTCTGTGCAACCCTATCAAAGTGTTTGGAGTTAAAACAAAGTGAGGGCAACTATATGTTGAAAAAAGAAAAGGAGTACTTGTGGCACCTTAGAGACTAACCAATTTATTTGAGCATAAGCTTTCATGAGCTACAGCTCGCTTCATCGGATGCATAATGTGGAAACTGCAGAAGACATTATATACACAGAGACCATGAAACAATACCTCCTTCCACCCCACTCTCCTGCTGGTAATTGCTTATCTAAAGTGATCACTCTCCTTACAATGTGTATGATAATCAAGTTGGGCCATTTCCAGCACAAATCCAGGTTTTCTCACCCCCCCCCCCCAAACTCACTCTCCTGCTGGTAATAGCTTATCCAAAGTGACCACTCTCCCTACAATGTGCATGATAATCAAGGTGGGCCATTTCCAGCACAAATCCAGCAGAAGAGTGAGTTTGTGTGTGTTGGGGGGGTTGGGGGGGGTGAGAACCTGGATTTGTGCTGGAAATGGCCCACCTTGATTTTCATACACATTGTAAGGAGAATGGTCACTTTAGATAAGCTATTACCAGCAGGAGAGTGAGTTTGTGTGGGTGTGGGGGGGGGGGGCGCGGAGGGTGAGAAAACCTGGATTTGTGCTGGAAATGGCCCAACTTGATTATCATACACATTGTAAGGAGAAAGAAAAGGAGTACTTGTGGCACCTTAGAGACTAACCAATTTATTTGAGCATGAGCTTTCGTGAGCTACAGCTCAGAGCTGTAGCTCACGAAAGCTCATGCTCAAATAAATTGGTTAGTCTCTAAGGTGCCACAAGTACTCCTTTTCTTTTTGCGAATACAGACTAACACGGCTGTTCCTCTGAAACCTGTCATTGTAAGGAGAGTGATCGCTTTAGATAAGCTATTACCAGCAAGAGAGTGGGGTGGGAGGAGGTATTGTTTCATGGTCTCTGTGTATATAATGTCTTCTGCAGTTTCCACAGTATGCATCCGATGAAGTAAGCTGTAGCTCACGAAAGCTTATGCTCAAATAAATTTGTTAGTCTCTAAGGTGCCACAAGTACTCCTTTTCTTTTTGCGAATACAGACTAACACGGCTGTTACTCTGAAACCTGTCTATATGTTGAAAAGAGAACCATAGCCTCATGCAAAAGCAGGATGGAAGCAGAGTCTTTGATACCAACTTGCTTTTGTGGGAGATTCTCATCTCATTGTCAGATAATTTGTAGCCAATTACTAAAATACCTGATATATTGTTGCATATTACATAATATTTCTAGAAACAACAGTTACTTATGCTCTTTGCAAAAAAAATACACTTTTTCTTCCTGGATTCCTTCATTGTACTTTCTTGTCTGTAGTATCCATCATTGTTACAATAACAGAATCATTGAATTGTAGGGTGGAAGATGCCACATGTCATCTAGTCCATCCCCTCATGCTAAGGCAGGACCAAGCATACATAGACCATCCCTGAGAAGTGTTTGTCTAACTTGATCTTAAAAACCTCCAACAGGGATTCCACAACCTCCCTAGCTAACCTGATCTCGTGCATAACTATTGTTATAATTATAACTATAATATTATAATTCCAGTCAGGAGGTGTATCCACTAGAATAAGCTGCCACCCTCAAATATATTGCATTCGCTTGTTGTCACTAATTCTTAGATATATTTTCCTTTGCTATTTACAACTCTTTGATAATGTTTAAACTATTTTAATTTACGTCATAGGCTTCCTTGAAACACTGCTTTTAAATATATGTTCATGTTTAGATAGCTGTTGAGTTCAGTAATCAAAGGATTACCAACCTGTCAGTCTTTTTCTTTTAAATGAGTCCCAACAACTCCACTCTAAAGGAGTAGCAGGAAAAACAGTCAAAAGGGATTCTGAAAGACCAGGCAGGACAGCATTGGAAGAACGTGAGCAGAACAAAACATTTATTATTGTATATTTCTTTAGCACCCAAACACACCAATCAGAATTAGGAACCCATTGAGCTAGGCATTGCACAGAAATTCAGAAGGATGCTGTCCCTGCTTAGAAGATCTGAGTCTGTGACTTTATGCAATGCTTCTGTAGAACATGCTGGTCCCAGCATATTAGAGAGACAAGGTGGGTGAGGTAATATGTTTTATTGGATCAACTTCCTGTTGCTGAAAAAGACAAGCTTTCGAGCTTGGTTCAGTAAAAGGTACTACTTCATCTACCGTGTCTCCCTATTAGTCTGTGATGGACATTTTCAGAGGGGCCTAAACAAATTAGATGCCTGTGCCTAATCCCTATTGAACTTGAATTGATTTGGGCACACAACTCTCTTAGAAAAATTCAGAACTCTTAAAATGTCTCCAGCTGTGTACCAGAAATTGAGGCACCTGAAATCACTAAGCACTTCTTTGCCATCGTACCTACTGGTAGTGCAACAGAGGCATAATGCTAATCAGAATATGATAGCTCTGTGGTTTATGCTAAATCATTAATGTAATCTAGTCTAAATCTTCCCTACTCATTGCTAACCCCCTTATTTTTTCCAAGAACATGTTTTTTAATGTTTTTTTTTATTTCATAGGCATGCTGATGGGTCAATCAAGTTTTGGGATGCCTCTGCAAGTAAGTATTTTGAATAATTATCGTAACTTACTCAGACAGCCGAAGAGTTCCCTAAACTTGCATGCTTCTGCTGTATAATTGCTGGCAAGCTGTCCTCATGTTATCTGCTTCACACACTGTCAGTGCCTTATGTTAATCTTTGAATTGTAATAGACTTAACTTGGGTCTATTAATTTTTTTTTTAATAGTTTAGTGTTTGATTTTTACTCCCCAAAAGAAAACTAATTATTGGAGCAGGCTGGGAATGGGAAATTTGACATTCTTAAAACCTCTGTCTTATTTTCCTGGAGTTCTCCTCTATTGGCACATAGGTATAAGAGAGGAGAAGGGCAGGAAAACAGTGGAATTTTAGTGAGGCATCTCTATCTATATCAGGGGTCGGCAACCTTTGAGAAGTAGTGTGCCAAGTCTTCATTAATTTAAGGTTTCGCATGCCAGTAATAAATTTTACGTTTACAGGGCCCCCCGACGGAACCCCAGACTGGCAGCGGGCTGAGCAGTGCCGACGGCTGGGACCCCACTTGGCAGGGGCCGGCAGATGGAACCCCAGACCGGCAGCGGGCTGAGTGGCTCAGCCTGCTGCCGGTCTGGGGTTCTGTCTGCCGCCCGCGCTGCCAGTCTGGGGTCCTGGCTGCCGGCCCCGCTCATCCTGCTGCTGGCCTGGATGGACGGAAACCTGAGCCGGCAGCACGCTGAGTGGGGCCAGCAGAAGGGACTCTGGCTGGCAGGGGCTGGTGGACAGAACCCCAGACGAGCAGCATGGGCGGAAGATGAAACTCCAGACTGGCAGCGCACTGAGCTGCTCAGCCTGCTGCCAGTCTGGGGTTCTGTCCGCCTGCCCCTGCCAGCTGGGGTCCCGGCCACCGGCCCCGTTCAGCCCACTGCCGGCCTGGGGTTCCATCCATCCAGGCCGGCAGCGGGCTGAGTGGGGCCGGTGGCCGGGACCCTGGCTGGCAGCAGAGTGCCACTAAAAATCAGCTCGTGTGCCGCTTTTGGCACGCGTACCGCAGGTTGCCGACCCCGATCTATATTTTGTTCTTTCTAATGCAAAAAGTAACAAGTGTATATTTATAAAATATAAGTTCATGATAAATAATAGCAGCTAGAAATAGTTGTTTCCCACAATTCTTGCTAGCAAAGCACAGAAATGAATTAAGTGCATCCATAAATGCATCCAAATAATTCAGTGGTCCTAAGGTTAGAAAGTAAACTATTTCTGATACAGTTTTGAATTAGAAGAGCATTGTTGACACTAGTATGCAAATAAGTACATACACACATTTAGGGTCATGTTGTGTCATTGGTATTCAAGCACAGCTCAAAAGGAAGTTGTTTATCCTTTATATGTTGTTAGGAGTACTACATTTTTTGCTGCATGGATATCCTGTTTTGTAACTCTTCCATCTTCACCTGATTTCTTTCTAGGAAAAATTAACTGATTTTAGCCGAGTTTAATGAAGTTCTAAGGGCTTTTTCCTTTTTAAATGTCTAAATGTGGATATATTTTCATGAAAGAACTGAGAATGTTAACACTGTGTAACCCTGCTTCTATGCATCCCTCTTGCTGAAAATTGTTTGGGAACCTTTGTAAAGGGAAAACGGCGACAAAAAGGAGAAATGAATTCGAGAAAGATATCTGTTTAAATTGAAAACTAACTTTGTTGTATATTCTTATTTATTCCTAGTAACACTGCAAGTACTTTACAAGCTTAAAACAGCTAAAGTATTTGAAAAATCACGAAGTAAGGATGACAGGCCAAACACAGATATAGTAGATGAAGATCCATATGCCATTCAGATCATCTCATGGTGTCCAGAAAGTAGGATGCTGTGCATAGCAGGAGTTTCTGCACATGTCATTATTTACAGGTTCAGCAAACAGGAAGTGACAACAGAAGTCATTCCGGTAATACTATCACTTTTTTAATTGTATGGATTTCGGCTGTAGTAGAAATATATTGATTTGGATTTTTATCATGATTTATCCTGTTGGTTAAATTTTCATAGGTAGGAGATCTTCAAAACTAGGAGCAGCTTCTTGCAAAAAAAAAAACTGAATAAAAGTTTTACTACCCTATTTATATCTTTCTATAGGAGTTGGATGTGTGTTGTTAATAGGCCCAATTCAGCAAACCACTAAAGCACCTGCTTAACTTTAACTTCATTGGCACTTAAGCATTCCTCTACCAGTTGCTAGTCAGGTTCTAGGTTAAAGGTTTTGGTTCTAATTTAAAAAGCAATTGATGGATCAAGCCCAAGCTGCATCAAAGGTCAAATTTCAATCCCTGAACCACTGCTTTGGGTGAGATCAGGAGACAAAGTATTCTCAAGGGGATCTGGCAATAGAACACTCGCCATTCAAACACCTCTTTTATTCCACTCTGAACCTCCCCCGTTCATAGGCCCTGACTTTTAAAGGTATTTAGGTGTTGCTGCAAGTTCAGTGTCACAATGCCTAGCTGATTTAGGAGCCTAAATCTGTTAGGGGATTTAGGCACCTAAGAGTCAAAATCCCATGGACTGTTAAGGGATTTTGGCTTCCAAGTACCTAAATCCCTTCTGAAAATGAGATTTAGGCAAATCAGTTAGGCATTATGACACTGAGTGCAGCAACACCTAAATATCTTTAAAAATCTGAGCCTTGGCCCTTATATATGTAGTATTTCATTTTTGTTCAGCAAAGAGCTGCAAAAAGTGATGATATTTTTGAACTGCTTTTCTGTACAAAAGCTGGCCTGACATACTGATTGTCCATTTGAGTTTTTATTAGCACTTTGCTTAATTCACATATACATTTCTGTGGCTTTCAAGAGGCAAATGTGGGAATCAAAGGAGAGTGGTTTTCATCAAGAAGAAAGATAGTGTATTTTATTGTTGCTTTTGCTTTGGTTTAATTTACAGATGCTTGAAGTACGGCTGTTGTATGAAATAAATGACATAGACTCTCCAGATGGTGAGCAAGCGCCACCGTTGCCAACTCCAGGCACAGGTTCCAATCCTCAGTCCATTGCCCCCCAGTCACATCCATCTACGAGCAGCAGCTCATCTGATGGGCTCCGTGATAATGTCCCATGTTTAAAGTAAGTGTAAGAACATGGAAAGTTTATGGTGCACTTTTGTTTATAATATTGTATCTTCTTCTTTTCATTGATCATAAACTTGATAAGACTATACTGACATAAGTGCTTGTGTGGATTCATATTGCGACAGAAAATCTATCATAGCCTTTGGACAATCCTATACTGACGAAGGCAACATTTTGCAAGCTTGTGAAAGTTGAGCCCCATTTCAGGAATCTGAAACCTATCAAGAGCACAAGAATACCCCACCCTCCATGCACATATGCACATATACAGAAACCTTGCCATCTGTTGTTTAAGAGTACCTATCGTAATTTTACATACCCTGTTCCTAGTTAGTCTTTAATGCCCCCTCAGTGGCCATGCTCCACACTTAAGGAAATGCTGATATAAATCATAATATACGTGCTCTCCTTTCTAAAATGTTTTGATGAGAAAATAGTTAAGTGTTGACACCGGTATCATGGTAGCTGATTTCACATCCATTGAAATGAATGGGGCTGTTCACACCACAGAATTGTTATCTAAGGCTCTCTGCAGCCTCAGGGAGACATGTCTACATTGGTTACACTTGGTTCATGTTTTTAAAATTTTTATTTGCAACCATACTAATTAGTTTAAACTGGATACAAATAAGTCTGAGACTCTGGAGAACAACTGAGACCTCTTTTTTGCACACACTCGCTCACGCACACACACCACATGCTCTTCAAGCCCCGCTAGGTGTTGTGACGCAAACTTTGGGAAACATTGGTCTGAAGGATGGAATAGATGACCTGTTCTAATGGAACTTTTCAGATCTGTTTTCTGACATTAGAAGTGATCATAGATGTATCATCTGTTCCATCGGTTAATTGTAAATACTGTAACAAACATGATTTTTTTATGTGAGTTCATTCGAGAGCGTAGTGATTGTCTGTCTGGTTTCACCCGCATATGAACTTAAAGTAGCACTTGATCCTGCCAGAACAACAGATGCAGTCATATCTCCACAGCTATGATGGTCATACTCCTGACAAGACACCTTTCAAGATCCATTGTTCCTACCAATGCCTAGCATAACATGTGATGTTCCTCAGCTAGTGCACTGCATGCCCCAAGAACAAATATGGGACTGAAACCAGACAATCACTATTCTCTTGATTGAACTCACACACAAAAATAAGACAAAAACACCATATCACTTCTGGGTGAACACTTTTCACACAGCAATCGCTTTATATCTGACCTCTCAGTCCTCATCCTCAAAGGAAATCTGCACAAAAACTTCAATTGTTCTCTAAGGAAATCTGCACGACACCTTCAAAAGATGAGCCTGGAGCTTAAATTCATAACTTTGCTAGATATGAAAAATCATGGACTTGGTAAAGACACAGATTTATGGCTCATTACAAAAATCTATAACCCACTAACCCTCCCCCACAGCTGCCTTCCCCCCTCCTTTTCACTGCCATGACTTGAGAGGTGTTAACAGGCCACTTAAAATTATAGGGTTAGAAGGGACGGCAAGGGTCATCTAGTCTAACTCCCTGCCAAAATGCAGGATTTGTTGTGGCTAAACCATGCAAAACAGATGGCGATCAAGCCTCCTTTTGAAAACCTCCAGTGAAGCAGTTTCCACAACCTCCCCAGGCAGTCTGTTCCATTGTCCTACTATTCTTACAGTTAGGAAAATTTTTCTGAGATTTAATCGAAATATGCTATGCTGTAGCTTGAACCCATTGCCTCTTGTCCTGCTCTTTGTGGCAAGAGAGAACAACTTTTCTACGCTTCACCTTGAATTGTCCTTTGAAACGTGTTAACTACTTATGCTTATCTGTTCCACCTTCTATTTAGTTGTGACATTCTGAGTATATTTCCCAGACCTGAAGAGGAGCTCCGTGTAAGCTCACAAGCTTGTCTCTGTCACTGACAGAAGTTGGTCCAATAAAAGATATTGCCTCACTCACTTTGTCTCTCTAATACCAGCTACTGTTCACTTGAGGAATCAGGAGTGGAGTGAGGGTTCCCAATTTGTACCCTGCTAAAGGCAGTGTTGTTATGCCTCTAGATCACCATATTTAACCTGAGGACAATACCAATTAAAAATCCTCACTTGCAGATATAATATTTAGATTGGCATGTGCTTTAGCTGCCAAGTTGTAAAAGTAAACACGCCATCTTAGTTTGCGATCCTGGGTTAAATCCACAGCCTAAAAACTGATTCTGTGGACACACTTGTTTTCTATGTGTGGGAGCTCTTTCATGCCCTACCAGTATATTGAATTGCAGAATATAAAGCACTAACTTACATAATAAAATACTCCTATTGTATTTTTGGTTGAGCTGTGAGTACGAAGGTCTTGCACTCAACTCAGCAGCATTTCTGCTCTCTGTATGTAATACCATAACTTCTGAACACAGCATCCACTCCATTCCATAATTTCAGGGAATGTTCTTGGCAACAGTGAACTCTTTGGATCTTGGAGAAAATTGGAAAACTGAAAAGGGATACATGGGGGGGCACGTGGAGCACCTGTCCTCTGCCCCTGCCACAACTTCAGGCACCTCTGCAATTGTCTGTAAATCAAGCAACTGGTTGATGGCACTCATTAATGCCTTCCAGCAGAACAATAGCCCATCTCATCTCTGACTGTCCTCCCAATTAAGTTTAACTTGTTGCTAGCCTATCTCTAACTGAAAGAAGATAAGTAATAATGGGGAGTTGGAGGTGGTGCAAAGGAGGATTGGGGACATACACATAGCCTCTTGCACGGGAGGGAGAATAGGGACCGTGGAATGGGGAAAGAGGGGCAAGCAGAGAGGTCCTGCCATGGGAGGAAGACTGGAAGAGCCTTGAATGGGGGGAGGGAGGAAAGGAGGCACACACAACCCTGGTGTGGGGAAGATTGGGGACTCCAGGTATAGGGAAAGGGGGATGCACATAGAGCCTTTGTCATGGGGCGAGAATGGGAGACTCTGATATTGGGGGTGGGATATTCGGAGATCCTGGTATATGAGAAGGGGTATGCCTAGAACTCCTGGCAGGGAGATTGAGAAACCCTAAAGTGGGGGAGAAAAGAGAATGGAGGGTACACACAGAGCCTGTGACTTGTCGAGAAGTGGGGGATCCTTGAATGGGAGGGTATTCAAAACTTCTGGTGCTACCAATTCTCTATGGCCTTGTGGCCTTCTGTCATACCAGCAACCTTTGCCTGAAAGCCCCTTCCTACCTCAGTTAGTCATACATACACATCATATTCAGATCCCTCCTCAATATAAACTTTTTACATTAAAGCTTCAATTCCTAATTCTCCCCTCTTAGAAACACAGAATCCGTGACATGATTTCTCTACTAAAGCCACCATACGATACTAGTGCTGTTTACCCTTGTCCTGCACTTTCCCGTCCCTCAGTGTTTAGAATCATTACTCAGGTTGTTTTAAGTAGTAAATCTAAGTATCATCACAAATAATGGGAATTAAGGTGAATTAACTTTTGGTGCATTATTCTTATTTATATTGTGTGTATTCATTTGGTAGATTGCAATATTCAGTAATTCTCAGTTTCCCTGCCTTGTACAAGTTAATGAGATCCTATTGTATCGAAGTGGAGAGATGAATATAAAGACATTATACATTGTATTTATATTGCAGAATAAAAAGCTCTCCCCTCAAACAGTCTGCAGGCTACCACATTGAACTGGTTATTCAACTGGTATGGGTGAGTGGAGAACCTCCACAGCAGATAACCAGTTTGGCAGTGAACTCTGCCTATGGCCTGTAAGTATATTCTGTACTTTTTACTAGTTTTCTAATAAATTTCACTAGAGTGGCTGTCATCTAAAAAGTCAACATTTGTTTATACCGACTATGTAGGAATATTGGAGATGCCATCAGTTTTCCTCTATTCTGAAAGTAAATAGATGCAATACTTGTATATAAAATCATGAGTGGTGTGGAAAAAGTGAATAAGGAAAAGTTATTTACTTGTTCCCATTATATAAGCACTAGGGGCCACCAAATGAAATTAATGGGTAGCAGGTTTAAAACAAATAAAAGGAAGTTCTTCACTCAGCACACAGTCAACCTGTGGAACTCCTTCTTTGAGGAGGTTGTGAAGGCTAGGACTATAACAGGGTTTAAAAGAGAACTGGATACATTCATGGAGGTTAAGTCCATTAATGGCTATCAGCCACGATGGGTAAGGAATGGTGTCCCTAGCGTCCATTTGTCAGAGGGTGGAGATGGATGGCAGGAGAGAGATCACTAGATCATTACCTGTTAAGTTCACTCCCTCTGGGGCACCTGGCATTGGCCACTATCGGTAGACAGGATACTGGGCTGGATGGACCTTTGGTCTGACCCAGTATTGCCTTTATGTTCTTATGTTCTATAGTAACAGGTGGTATCTTTTGGCACATATTGACTTTTTAATGGGAACCATGATAATTAGTCATTTAAAGTATGTTTATAAACCTGGATTTATAAACCGATACTGAATATCCTAAACTAATCTATTTGAATTTATTTTAAAAAAAAAACCACATAAAAACATTAAGATGCTTGTCTGGCTATGCTGAAAGGATGACAGGAGACATTAGATATGGGTTTAATCAGGTCGCAACTTTATTATTGACAGATGTCTGGGACTAACCCGGCAGATAAAATGTGTGCAGTTCACATGCAAAATTTATGTCCCTCCAGCAGATTCACTGCCGGGACCTTGCCAATTCCAGGGTGCGAGGGCCTTCCACAGCTACCCCCTATTTATCCAGATCCCTCCAGCAATTCCCTTGCTGGGACCTTACTGACCACGCCGCCTCGTAGGAGGGGGTTAAGGTGGACTATAATGATGGGGGGGGTTTGGCTCCCTGCTGTACCAATCATCGGAGTCCCCAACTGCCCCCAGCTTGCTCAAGCACTTCTCCTTAATTCCTTTTCCGAGACATTTTTTCATTCTTTTGTGCCTTAATTTATGGAGTACCTGCACTGAACATCCGCTATACACTTAAATAAAGAGTTGCAACATTTGGCCTACCACCTGTCATGCTGTGCATGAACTGAGCCTACCTGAACCTGCTGCGAGGAAGGCGAAAAAAACCCCCACTTCACCTGGCCAATATGGTGGTAAGGGAAAAATTCCTTCCCAGACCCCCTTAGTGTGGCGGCTCGCGTAATATCCACACCAGATACAGCTAAACACCCAGCATATTTGTGACCTAATTAGGGAGGGTGGGTGGGTGCTGCCTAGCCTGTTCTGAGTAAAGGGAGGGAGGGGCAAGTCCCACTGACCTTTTCAAACACTACATTCCTATGTGGTGAGTCATTTACCACGCTGACTGCTCTTTCCAGCCGCTTTACATCTTCCCTCCTTCCCCAAGCCAGAAAGCATTGTCGCTTTCTCCTGGCCAACCAGACAAACTCCTCCCTGCTTAAGTGTAGGGTGGCGATTCTCTGAACAGAACTTGAAAGTTATATGTAAATTTTAAATGTTTTTAGTTACATGAACAGGAAATTTCAGATTTTTTTTGTGCACCAAAAATCTTAAAATGTACAGAGTTGTATGTGAGTTTGTGTGTAATAGATTTAAAAGAATCCTGTCCAGCTGCCTTGTTTTAGCTAAGAGCAAGTTATAAGTTCATTAAAATAGAGATTTCTAAAAGGAACTTCAGTAGACCTTTTCCTCATAGTAATGGTAGTTATTCTCACTAAAATAATAAAGTAAATGACCAAAAGGAATTGTATTGGCAGCATTAGAGAGAGTACATTTTGCATCCATTATAGTGAAGGGAACAGTGTCTCGGGGGTTGGAAGGGGGCTTCTTTGAGAGAATCTTTCATTAGGAAATTTGCCCAATTATTTGGCCTATGGTAATTATATCTAACACCATAAATGTATATTGAACTTCCAAAAAAAAAAAAAAAAGGTATACAGGGAAATGTAAATTCTAGAGATGAAACTTAACTGTGGAAGAAAAGCATCTACTGTAAAAAAGTGTATTTTATAAAATGAGTTGTAGAAATTCTTTCTGATTTAAATTTGCTCATTTTGCAAATAAAATGATCGTTCTGCTAAATGCCAGCTCTACAAACCCCAGTTAGAATCTGGATATTACTAGAGATTCCTTTAGACTCAAATATCAGCAATTGTGTTGTTGATGAGCAAGTCATAATTAAATCCAGTTAATTGTCACATAGCTATCTATGTTGGCTCTGCAGAGTCAAACAGGAGTAAAAACCATTCAAATTCTCTCTTTGGTAAGTGAACTCTGTAGCTACAGGAAGCTGGTTTATTGAGGAGAAAGTACTATTTTTAGTCACTTTCTAGAGCAGTGAACTGCACTTTAAAATATTAGTTCACACAAGTATTTATTTTTTTAATCCTTTTTCAGGTTCATTCAAAAGATCCATTTAAAATAAAAAGTGTTTTTATAATTTTTTGTCAAGGACAGTACTACATACGAGAATAAAAACAATAGCAACATTTGACTTATTAGCAACTTTATTGGAGCCTTAATCTTTCCTCCTACTCTTCTTCTTCCAGAGTAGTTTTTGGCAATTGTAATGGTATTGCAATGGTTGATTACCTGCAGAAGACAGTGCTCTTGAACCTTGGCACCATTGAATTGTATGGCTCTAATGATCCCTATCGTAGGGAACCTCGATCTCCTCGCAAATCTCGGCAACCATCAGGAGGTAAGAATCGTTGGATGTTGCATTTCAACAATGGTATCTTTCTCCATAACTCATAGTTGGGCTGTCAGTCACCACTTTGAATATAAGCACATTAGCAACACAAAATGTATATTTTTATATGTATGTTACATGTCTGATCTTTGAGAATAATTAATGGAACATTGGTTTGTATTCGCATTCTCATACATGATGATTCTTCACAATTCAATATCTTGAATCAGAGGTATCTGAGAGGATCTATGCTAGATTCCTCCTGCATTTTTGTCCCATCCTCCCTGACTGACCCCAGATGTCATTTTTCTCTTGTTGTTAAGTTGTATTTGTGATATGAGACTAAGCTTTGTTGTAGACTGAGCTTTATGGTGGGGAAGTACTTGCTGTTTTTATTGTCATCAATCGTGTTTTTAATTTGTGTTAAAAGCACCTTAAGCAACAGCTAGACAAGCATTGTACACATTCATAGAAGTATAAATTAAATACAAAAGTTATAAGAACTTTAAAAGATCTTAATTAAATAACCAACATAGCTTTATAATTGTCAGAGTTTTGTAAATATGCCTAGATAATATCCTGCAATTTCCCTGTCATGTCTGCTCTCCCCACCAATCTTCTCACACTTACGTATACCACTTTTCTCAGCATAGAAGGGACATCACAACTGGCTACCTTTGCTTCTGCTGCTATCAGTTTAAAATTTCTTATCACTAGGAATGTCCATAATTATCTGGCCTCATGGAATATTGTGCTCTTCTCAGAGGGCAAACCTCAGGGTATGAAATATAAATGGATATTTTAAATTTGTAAATCAAAACTTGTAAAATAGGTCGTGTCAAAAAATTAGGTGTGGAGGGGAGGTGTTGAAATCGCTATTCTGTTTTTCTTAAATTGCTGTGACCTTTGTTCAAATTCTTCATATAATTTCTGAAATAAAAACAGCTAATATTTTTGAAAAACAACTTTTTGTTCAGCTTAGTTACATGGTGGATTTTTTTAAATGAAAAAATGTTATTTTGAAAATGATAAAGTGTGCATGAAAAAAATTGTTACCTCAAAATGGCCACTTCTCAGTGAAAAAGGAATTATTTGAAAAATTTCATCCAGTGATAGTTTTGGTTCAGATGAAATGAGCCAGGAGAAGATTCAAGCATCTTCTTCTTTTATCTCAAGTGTTTCACACTGTGGCAGGATCCCTGGGGTACAACCTGGAATTGTGGGATCGCTGTGCCCCCTTAATTCTCCGACCTAGGGTGTCTCACAAAACTATGCCAGTGATAAGTAACAAAACCCCTCCAGACGCTGTGATCACTCAGCCGTCAGTATGTAGAGCCACACACCCAGCTAAATTGCATGAATAATCCCTGAGCCACTCATGAATTTTACAGAGAGAAGCACCAGCCAGTCACCCCAGCTCCCAGCCTTGAACCCCTGAAATATACTGTCTTACACTGCTCAAGGTTCATAGGAAAGTTGACATGCACCAGCCTTTGTAATCTGAGCTGAGATTCCCCAAGTACTTCAACCAAAAACACACTGTTTCAGGTAAAATACAATATAAAACAGATAATTAACTACAGAAAGACAGATTTTAAGTGATTATAATTAGCGGTCTTAGAGATCAAAGTTCGTTACCTTAGAATTTACACTAAGTTTCTATTTTTATTTCTAACTTTAACAGACTAAGCAAGATTTTAATCAAGCTGTCTCTCACCCTAACAGATGTTTACAGTTCCTCAGTACACAGACTGGACTCCCTTCCAGCCTGGGACTTATCTCCCTAGTTTTCAAGTCTTTGTCTTCCAGAGGATCTTATAGGTGTTGAGATGGATGGGGGAGGAGAAAGAGAGACAAGTGGTGCTGTTACGGTCCCCTTTTTATACTTTCTTCCAGCAGCTAGAAAAATCCTTGCTGTGACATGGGGGGGTCAGGCAGTCCCTATTGGTCACACAGTCCCCATTGTATACCTGCCTTCTCTGGGAAGACTCTGGGATAGTAGATTCTTCTTGATGAGCCTTTAATACCTGTCTGGACCATGATGGTTGCTTCTTTGTTGCAACTGAAAGCTGTGGGTGTTTCTCACAACATATAGGAAAACTTTATAACTTCACATACAGTGATAGTATATTCAATCTGATAGGATATTGAGGTTCAACAGATCAATACTTTTTAAATGATACCTCAGAAGGCATACTTTGTACAAAATCTATCATAATCCTATGATGGAGGTGAATGTGGGGGCTTCAGGTTGCTATCTTGAGGTACAGTGTCACATATGCACCATTCTTTTTTTAGATTTATAGATGCTGTAACTGAGGTAGGTATTTCTTGATAGTAAATCATTGGTTTGAGAAACATCAAAATAAATACAAAATGAAGTTAAGTAGTTGAACTGTGAACACACAACTAAGAAAAGCACCAATTGCTGCTTGTATTACCTACTGTATTATAAAGCATTTCAAAGATTTTTAGTCCTTTATTTTCCTTAATGGATAGATGTTTCATTTTAAAAGAACAGAAACTTCCCTCCTCACCTCCATGGGATATGATCAAAACAGGCAGTCTGATAGGCTTAATATTTTAGGTTCTTAGGGAAAAATGTTAGTAATCTTAAATACTGCTTTTATATAGTCAGATTACAAGTCACTCTAGGAGATGCTAGAAACTACTTGTTTAGTGCTCTTGGTCTTTGTCACTGTAACATCTTGCCAGCATGATTAACTGAACCGTTCTTTCACATCTGTGTACATGTTTATTAGCTGAAATATCCAGTACGGCTCATAAAGATAATGAAAAGAGAATCTTCACTTGTGTGAATCTTGACTTGTAGTGTGAATTCAGATATTTAGACTTTTTTTTTCTTCAGACTTTGTTGCACTTACTAACAGTTTGTCTGCCTGGCAAAAGCATTATATAATCCTGATTATTCAAGTTATTCAGTAGGTTTTTCTGTCTCAAACACACTATGTTTGTGTCTAGTCTTTCCTTTTTTCATTGCTTCATTAAGGTATGCTGACTATGGCTCCTTGTATGTGCGGCCTTTTTAACTTCTATTCAGAGTCTGTGAAAAAACTTCACACCTCTCATATAAGTCAGTCATTTAATGGCAATAAAATATTTTTGAACATCTGGATTTGATGTAAATAACTTGCTGTTCACACACCATGAATTTTTTGTTAGTCCATTTAAATAACTGTCCAGTTTTAGAAAGTGGTGGTGTAGCTGTGTCAGTCCCAGGATATTAGACACAAGGTGGATAAGTGTAATATCTTTTCTCACCAACAGAAGTTGGTCCATTAAAGGATATTACCTCACCCCCCTTATGTCTCTAGTTTTAGAAACTGATTTTGGCATGATTTGTTCAATCATATACGTGTACCATATCTTTTACTTGTGGCACCACTGAAATACATTTGGTTGAGGGCAGGATTCCCCAGATACAGGAACTGTGAAAGATCGTCATAAGACTGCCTCCTTAGGACTCCCTAATGAGCCCAAGCATGCGTGACTGGAGCTCACAGTACATCTAGGCAGGGCCATAGCACACAGCACTGCAGAGATGCAGGGCAGCACTATAGCACATAGGGCACCCCCAGGAGGCTGCCATGATTTAGACAGACCCACAGAACTGAATAAAATGTTAGACCTGCTCCAGCCCCCAGAATACTCCATAATCAAGTGGGTGCAAAGCAAGCATAAAACCCTTCCCCAAGGCAGCTTATTCTGTGCTGTAATTCAAAAAGGCGCAACACAGAATCTCATTCTTGTTTTTTATTTTATTTTTTAAAACGAGGGAGAGGAGAATAACGGATCACATAGAAGACTGTTTTGTCTTATGAGAAGAAAGAGATGTACTTTAATTAAACTTTTTAAAAACTTGTTTCCTTGCTAAATTAATCTCTAGCTTCCAGCTGTTGGTATGTATTTTTTTGCCGGGAGAGAGGAAACTGTTCGAGCAACCATGCAATTACCTAATCCTTTGTATCCACTAAGGCATGTGGATCTCTGATAAATAAATCCATGTGCCTTAGTACGGATAATTAATTGAAGCCAAATGTTTAATCTCTACTAATGCAGATTTTATAGAAGAATATTTTAAAGAATGAAAAAGGTTTCCTCCAAACACACCAATAACATATTTTTTGTTTTTTTATCTTTTGTGGTCATCTCTAAGACAGAAGCACAATGCATACCAGTATAGAGATTAAAACAACGAGGAATCCTTGTGGCACCTCAGAGACTAACAAATTTATTTGGGAATAAGCTTTCGTGGGCTAAAACCCACTTCATCTGATTCATCAGTATAGAGATTGTTACATTTAACTTAATCTCTTATTACTTGCAAAAAATTACACAGCAATAGTGTTTCATAATTGATAGTTTTATGTTTAAATAGAACTATCAAAGAAGTAAAATATCTTATAAGGTAGAGCTGTGTGAAATTATCAGAATTTTTTTTTATTTGCAGCATCCCTGACTCAAGTATAACCTGGTTTCAAAATGCAAAGTATTAACATGATCTTGTTTGAGCTTTGAAAGGAAGTGGTTTATTTGGAAAGTGGTTTTTGATGTGGAAATCTGATGTTTTTAAAAAATCTAAAAATTTAGTACTTGAAATGCATTTTTATGCCTAGCACATCTTCAGCAGCAGTAGTGTGCTCATAACTGACTTATGTTCTTCTTAGTAGTCTTGCTCTTACCCATCTCCCTTAAATAACCATTCATGTAAATTTACTGATACTATTGCTGCACGAAGAGAAACTGAAAATACCTTGCTATTCTCTGCAATGGGAGCACCAGTTTCAAAATTTATTTTAAAATCATGGCATCACAACAACACAGATGCGTGTACTTTGAGTATGTAGCCAAGAGGATTTCTGGCCTTTTATCTCATTTAAGCAAACTAGGTTCAGTCAGCATGATGCTCTTGTGACAGCAAAACATACTGCTATTATACGTTAAAGCTGTTTCTTCCAGAGTTGGTAGGGATGAGAACTGCTGACAGA